GTCACGGCTAATCTAACCTGGTCTCTTCCCTACGCGGCTCTCGCTTCGCCATGACCGCTTGGTTGGTGTCAGCCCTTCTCCGTCGTCAGACCCGCGGGCCGGCCGGAACCAGCAGCTGCCAATTGCTGTTGTCACCACACAGGGAGCTATAGAGCCCCTGGCCTTGCTTGCCGAGCGGTTGGCGATCATCCCCAAACCTCTTTTCTGAGAAGTAAGCAGGACCTGAAAACACCTGCTCTAACTCTTTTTTCTTCAGTTTGCTGTGAAACTGGTCACCTTCTTGTCAGAAACCTCTACGTGTAAGGCCGTGCATGACTGCGCACGCCTAGACTTCCGATCAGCAAAGGCTGCATAGTGAAACCCTGTCTCAAAGAAATAAAAGCCATGTTGCTGATATACGTTCCTCTAATTCCTTTGTACGTTTAAGCTTGTTTCAATAAGATGGAAGGCAAGAACAGGCTCCCAAAAGGTGTCTTGTGGCCTCCACGGGCCTGGTGTGTGTGTACATAAACAATGCCCACAACAATGATAAATGATTCAGGAGCAGTCCGAACTGCATGCCTGGTGTGTGTGTGTGTACATAAATAACGCCCACAACAATAATAAGTGATTCAGGGTCACTCCGAACTTGCATATGAATTTGAGGCCTAGTTGGAGACCTTGTCTAAATAAGAGAACACCCTGTGTGGTGGCACAGGACTATGAACTCAACACTGGGGAAGGAGATGTAGAAAGAGTACCACAACTCCAAGGTCCACCTGCTATACATACCGAGTTCCAGATCAGGCAGTTCGTGGCAAAGGCCAGAACAATGGCTCAGCTGGTAAGGGCAGTTTGCCACCAAGCCTGAAAACCTGAGTTTCATTTCTGGAACCCACATGGTTGACTTCTGCTAATCAGAAGACTGGCCCACCTTCTCAGGAAGGTGGTAAAATGGACTCTAGTTTATTCACTTATTTATCTGGTACTAAAAATTGAACCCAAGTCCTTGAACATATTAGGCAAATGTGCTCCTGAGATTAACTCCAGTCTGGTCTCCATTTCTTGCTTAAAAAAAAAAAAGTGATGTACAAACAGATATGGACACAGGAAAGTATGACAATGTATACAAGTAATTATTTTATAACAAGACTTAGATTGTTTAATACTTAGTCTGGAAAACCAAACTATGCACATAAAATAGTGGAATTCAAAATTTAAAAGTCATCAAAATAATTGTTTTCATTAAGCATGCAATTAGTTTGTTAGTGAGGTTTGATCCCCAGCAGCACATAAACCAGGTCAAGGCCACCCTGGGATAAAAGAATGACAACAAAAGCAACTTTTGAGGAAAAATAAATCATATTAAGTGCCACATATTTATCTGTAATTTGCTTTGTCGGTATTAGAGTAGCATGAAATTAATATCGAAGTCTGGTAGTTAGTTGGCAAGGCTGTGAAATATGACCTCTGATTTATTTTATTTTTGAGACAGGGTTCTACCTGAGTCATCCAGACTATTATTGTACTGGACTCAAAGGATCTCAGCCTCCCCAGTATCTGGGACTACAAACATATACCACTCCTGAATTAATTTTTTAAATTAATTTTTTTTTTGAGGCACAGTTTCTGAACCCACTCTATAGACCAGGCTGTCCTTGAACTCAGAGATCCACCTACCTCTACTCCTGTGCTGGGATTAAAGGCATGTGCCACCACTGCCTGGCCAATTTTTATTTATTTTTCTGAACTTATTTATTTTTTAATATAATAAAACCTCACAAAATCAGAATAACAGGTGAGGTAAATCTCACCGTATAACAAAGGTTTAAAAATACTGAATTTCTGCTGGGCAGTGGTGCATGCCTTTAATCCCAGAACTTAGGAAGCAGAGGCAGGCAGGTCTCTGTGAGTTCGAGGTCAGCCTGGTCTACATAGCTAGTTCCAGGACAGCCAGGGCTACACAGAGAAACCCTGTCTTGAAAAACAAAAAACAACTGAATTTCTGAAGAAATGCCTTTAATTTCAACAGTACTGGGGTAACTTGATTTCATAATACTAGGGATTAACTCAGGGCTCTTATATGCAAGTACTCTGCCACTGAGCAGTTAAAAAAAAAAAGAGCCGGGCGGTGGTGGTGCACGCCTTTAATCCCAGCACTCGGGAGGCAGAGCCAGGCGGATCTCTGTGAGTTCGAGGCCAGCCTGGACTACCAAGTGAGTTCCAGGAAAGGCGCAAAGCTACACAGAGAAACCCTGTCTCGAAAAACCAAAAAAAAAAAAAAAAAAAAAAAAAAGAAAGAAAACATTATTATGTTAGTGTGTGTGTGTGTGTGTGTGTGTGTAGCGCACCGTGCCAAGATGCACATGTGGAAATCAGAGGACAACTTGCTGGAATCAATCCAGGAACTGAACTCAAGTCATCAGGCTGGACAGCAAGTGCCTCATTGGTTAAGCCACCTCAGCAGCCCCTCACCCCTTTTTTAAAACTTTATTTTTGATACAGGGTCTGGCTAAATTGCCTGTGCTGTCTTTGAACTCAATTCCTCCCGCCTTAGTTTCCATACCTGTTTGGTCCTCAAACATTTTGCTAAGAGCCCATTATAGCCAGGCGGTGGTAGCCTTTAATCCCAGCACTTGGGAGGCTGAGGCAGGCAGATCTCTGGGAGAGTTCCAGGACAATGAGTCTACATAGAGAAACCCTGTCTCAAAAAAAAAAAAAAAAAAAGAAAGAAAGAAAAAGATCCCATTACCCACACTGAGTGGCTCACAACTGCCTGTAACCACACCTCCAGGAGATCTAATGCTCTCTTTAACCTTCTGAGGGCACTTGCACACCTGCAGCAGATACACAAATAGATACGTAAATAAATAGTACTTTTTAAGACCTCACTATAGGATGGTCATACCTGATAATCAGGCATTCAAGGTCCTGCTCTGCTAAAAAGTAAGTTCAAGACCAGCTTGGGCTACATGAGATCTTGTCTTAAAAGTGAAAATAACAACAAAAAGACTCCTTTATACATTTTAAAAAGTATTGAAAGACCCAAAAGTTCTCACTTATATAGATTGTGTGGATGCATATTGATATTCTCCATATAGTAGCAATTAAAACTAAGAAACATGGCATGGCAGAATAGCCAATAATTCCAGTAGAGTAGCATGTAAGACATGAGGATCCTGGGTTCAAGACCAGCCTGGGCCACACTGAGAGTTTAAGGCTCCTCCTCCTTCTTCTTTTTTTTAAATTTGGAAATGTGTAGGAATGAGTGACTCATACTTGTAAAAATTAGTATTTATACTAAATTACACTAAAATTTTACTTTTAGATTTATTTTAAGCTTATGTGTGTTTTGCCTGCATGTGTGTATGTAAATCAAATGTGTGTCTAATGCCCAAGGAGACCAGAAGAGGGTATTGGATTCCCCTGGAACTGGAGTTGGGAATGGTTGTGAGCCACTATGTGGGTGCTAGGAATCAAATCAGGGTCCTATGCAAGAGCAACAAGTATTTTTCACTCTTAAGCCATCTTTCCATTGAGTGTGTATGTGTGTGTGTGCTGGGCAGATTCTGCAGGAGGATCTCTGTGAGTTCTAGACTAGTCTGGTCTTCATAGCAAGTTCAAAGCTGGCCTGACTACATAGTTTTCTCAAAAAACAAACAAACAAAAAAAAACCCCAGAAACAAAAGCATACATACACACACACACACACAGAGACAGAGACAGAGACAGAGACAGAAGAGAGACAGAGAGAGAGACAGAGAGAGAGAAACAGAGGAGTCTGCTTCCCAGATTCTGGGATTCAAGGCATAGGCCTAGCACATGGGAGGTAGAGGCAGGCAGATCTCTGTGAGTTTGAGGCCACATTGGCCTACATAGCAAGTTCTAGGACAGAGCTACACAGAGAAACCTTGTCTTAAAAAAACAAATCAAAAGACAGCCCATCATCCCTGACACAAAACACATTTTAATGGCTATTTGCTTGTTTGCTCATTGGTTGGATGCAACCTGGGACTGAACTTAGGTTTCCAGGAATGATGAATACCAAAAAGGAAACAAGTATTCTGCCTCTGAACTATACTCCTCACTCCAGCCTGACTCCAAGAATTTCACAGGGACTATGCAAAATAGAGTAACAAAGATGGAAAAACTATAAACTTGCCCTTTATCCTTTCCTATGACATGGATAAGAAAATCAATGTCATTTGAAATATCACGTTGAAAATCTCAGGTTCCACTTATCAGTGAGCCATTGAACTTGACATAGACATGAAAGCTTCAAATTTTAAGCTTCCCAAAGTTTAAGGCAATGTTAACATGCATTGCAGAATTAATCCTTTTATGTATCCTCTTTTGTTTTGAGACCCTCCCCTCCAGTGCTGGGATTAAAGGCATGAGACACCACTCTCAGCTCTTCATATATCCTCCTGATGTTTAAATGAGACTGGCTAGACATAACATTTGAACACCTAATCCTGTGACTGGTGACATCTAAGCCACCAAGTCGTGGAAGTTTCTTTCTCCCTTCCTCCTGTTTTGGCTTTTTGAGTCAGGTACTTATATAACCAAGGGCTCTAAATTGCTATTTGGCGGAGGATGACCTTGAACTCCTGATTCTTTTTAGTCCCCTTCCCACATGTTAGGATCTCAAGCTTGGATCACGATTCCATAGCGTTTTTGAAACTTTTCTTAAGCTCACCTGAAACGAAATTGAAGGTTACAATACGTACAAGACACTCAGGTATTCCTGTGAGCCACTCTGTGATTATGTATGTCACTTATGCAACAGATTTCATTAAAGAAAAACAGTTAAGTGAGTTTAGACCAAGTTATCAAAACCGGTGAGTTCTAACAGGCAAGAGCTACTTATCCGCCCCCACACACATCCTGCCTACGCGAAATGCTATGTGCAGAAGAAAAACTACACTTCCCAGGAACCTCTGCCTGGTGAGGCGCAAGGCAAGATGGGAAGGGCTGCGGGGTGAACAACCGTCCTATTGGTGGGTAACCCAAAAGGCCGCCTCAGCTCGTGAGCGATTGGTAGGATTTTGTGGACGCTCGCCGGTTTGAGTTGTTTTTCGGTTGCGTTGTCGGATTCCCAGGTTTAGCGTTTGGTGAGTGTGGATTTCGGGGTAAAGATGAAGGGATTTTAGGACAGACATTGGGAAGAAAGAAAATCTGGTGGGGAAAAAGCTTTCATAATCCGTGCAGAAGGGAGCAACAGAAGACTAAACCTAGATCTTTAGGTGACTTGGGGACCAATCATGGAAAGTTTGTCTGCAAAAGGAGAGGTCTCCGGGTCGCGTAGCTAAAGTCTGGTCAAGAACTGGGTGAACTTGCAAGAGGAGAACCGAATCCAGAAGTCAGGGAGTTGGATGGAGTTCCGGCTCCGCCTCCCTCCCGCTCTGTAAGCTTCGATTTCCTCGTTTGTAAAATTAGGTTTAATAAAAGTACTTCAGAAAGTAGTTATGCGAGTAAATACCACATTTTTTCGGAACAGGGTTGTGGCCAATATGTGAAGTGTTTGCTTAGCGTGTCCGTGGCCTTGAGTTCGACCTCTACACCTCCAAAAAAGAAACCCGCTAACTTTTTCTTTCCTTTTCCTTTTTTTTTTTTTTTTTTTTTTCCGAGACAGGGTTTCTGTGTAGCCCTGACTGACTGTCCTGGATCTCACTCTGTAGACCAGGCTGGCCTCGAACTCACAGAAATCCGCCTGGGTCTGCCTCCCGAGTCCTGGGATTAAAGGCGTGCGCCACCGCCGGTCTGGCCCCACTTTTATATAAACAGAGGTATCCCTCCCTTGGAAGGTAGTGTTAAAATGGCTTCTGTCTGCCGGGAAGACCGGTTATCATAGTAAACCTGTAAATGGAATCACTTTCCAGTGAAAACATTTGTTTTCCGTTTTTGTTTGTTTTTGCTTTTTGAGAAGGGAATCTTACTCTGCAGCCCAGATGGGCTTGGAATTCACTATGTATTAACTGGTCTCGTGGCAGTACTCCTGTCAGGGCCTTCCAAGTGCTGGGAGTACAAGTGCACAAACAATGGCTGGATCACTGACAGATCATTTTGTGGGTTTTTTGTTGTTGTTTATTTGAGACAAGGCCTCGTCCTGTATCCCAGGTTTGCCTGGAACTTAACTCTGTACCCTAGGCTGCCCTCAATTTTGGGTGATGTCCCCTCAGCTAGGTTTTACTGACACAAGCCACCACAATTGACTTGGTAGATCGTTTTGAATGGAAAAAACTCAGAGAAGAGATAAAGGAAATAGTATTTAAGATAAATTTTACATACAGAATAGTCTTGATTAAGTGACTTTAACAAGGAGCTGAATTATAGCTGAAACCTTGTCTTGAAAAAAAAAAAGAAGAAGAAGCAGAGCTGGAGGATGGTTCAGTGGTTAAGAGTGTTTGTTACCTTTTTTGGTTTGTTTGTTTGTTTGTTAGTTTTGAGACAGGCTTTCTCTGTGTAACAGTCCTGGCTGTCCTGGCACTCTCTCTGTAGACCAGGCTGGCCTTGAACTCACTGAGATCCACCTGGCTCTGCCTTCCAAATTCTGGGATTAAAGGCCTGCGCCACCACTGCCTGGCTGTTACTTGTTTGGTTCTCAGAACCCATATCAAGTGGTCAAGCTATAGGGGACCCAGCACTCCCTTCTGGCCACTTTAGGCACCCACATTCATGTGAATACACACACACAAGTAAAAATAAATAAATCTTTAACAGTACTGAGTGTGTAGTGGCACCCACCTATTCCCTCAGCACTCGGGGAGTTCAGGCGGGAGGACGGATAATAGTGCAGGCCAGGCTGGATTACATACTGAGCCCCACACCAGCCCGGGCTACATTGCTAGATCCTTCCTCAAACCAACAAAATGAAAACAAACAAGCAAACGCCCCACAAGGGTTAGAGACAGCTCAGTCAGCAAAGTGCCTGCCTCAAGTGTGAAGCCCAGGGGTTGGGTCTTCAGCACCCAAGCCTTGCACGGCTGTTCACGACAGTAACCCCAGTGCTGGTGAGGAAGTGAGAGGGGAAGGAGGCGGGAGGGAAGGATTGGGGAATGTGTTTTTCTGAGAAAAGGATCACTTGTTGCTCTTGCAGAAGACCACAGTTTGATTCCCAGCACCTACATGGTGGCTTACAACTGTCCATAACTCCAATGTGACACCCTTTCTGACCTCTTCGGGCACCAAGCACCCACGTGTTGCACATACATGCATATATACACACATGCAGGAATACACTCATTCACATAAAAATGAGATAATCTTTAAAAGTTTTGGGGGCTGGAGAGATGGCTCAGTGGATAAGAGCACTGACTGTCTTCCAGAGGACCTGGGTTCAATTCTCAGCACCCACATGGCAGCTCACAACTGTCTGTAATTCCAGTTCCAGGGGATCTGACACCCATGGCAAAATACCAATGCACATAAAAGAAAAATAAATTTAAAAAACAAAAATATTTGAAAAAAAGTTTTGGGTTTTGTTTTGTTTTGTTTTCCTTTAATTACAAATTGGAGAAACGGTTAAGATACCCAATGTTGGTCTAAATGCTACATTCCCTTCAGGAGTCAAATGTGGTAATGTGTAGAGGGAACCAAGATGTATAGCCTATATATGTAGGCTTTATAAATATAATACAAATATATAATATAAATATGTATTTTTAAAACTCTTCCTGGCCCTCATTATCAATTTTGTGTATTGGGTAGGTGCAAATGAGACAGGATGAACTTTACTCCGACACACACACCTGTCTGCAGAAAGTAAGCTATTTGCTTATTTTTAAGTTAATTAATCAATACTTGTATAGGTTTCATCCAGTCAGTATAGGGATGTATATGCTCCAGGGACAGCATACTTTCGAAGTCTCAGTTCTCTGTTCTTATTCAGAATCTAGAGTTTAAAATAGTTTACCACTGGTGGTGGCACACACCTATAATCCTAGGAGGCGGAGGACAGTGAATCTCTTTGAGTTTGAGGCCAGCCTGGTCAGCATATTGAGTTCCAGCATAGCAAGAGCTACCAAAACAAGACAAAATATGCCCTCTCTGTAGAAATGCTAGTACTCATTCAGTGTGAATGGAGGAGCCACAGTGCTGGTAGATCTTGGGTCATAGGGAGCAATCAATATATAAACATGAGATAGAGTTGCTATATAGTGCTCATTCCTCACAACCATAGCTCCCCTCCATCTGTAGAATGTAAGAGTTGTTCTATTTTTTTTATAAATTTTTTTATTTAAAATTTTTCTTTCTTTCCTTTTACATACCAACCCCTGTTCCCCCTCCTTCCTCTTCTCCTGCTATCCCCCCCACCTACCCTCAGCCCACCCCCATCCCCTCATAGAGGGTAAGGCCTCCCTTAGTAGTCAACATAGGCTGGCATACCAAGTTGGGGCCAGACCTAGCCCCTCTCCCCTGCATCAAGGCTGAGTAAGGCATTGCACCATAGGGAATGGGCTCTAAGAAGCCAGTTCGTGTACCCAGGATAAGTCCTGGTTCCATTGCCAGGGGACCCACAAACACATCAAGCCATGCAACTTTCACCCACATTCAGAGGGCCTAGTTTGGTCCCATGCAGGTTCCCCAGCTGTCAGTCCAGAGTCTATGAGCTCCCACTAGCTTGGGTCAGCTATTCCTGTGGTTTTTCCCATCATGATTCTGAACCCCCTTGCTTTTATAATCCCTCCTCCCTCTTCTGCTGAACTCCAGGATCTTGGCCGAGTGCTTGGCTGGAGTTGTTCTAATTTTTTTTTTTTTTTTTTTTTGGTTTTTTTCGAGACAGGGTTTCTCTGTGTAGCTTTGCGCCTTTCCTGGAACTCACTTGGTAGTCCAGGCTGGCCTCGAACTCACAGAGATCCGCCTGGCTCTGCCTCCCGAGTGCTGGGATTAAAGGCGTGCGCCACCACCGCCCGGCTGTTCTAATTTTTTAATCATTAATTTATTTTTATTTTATGTGCATTGGTGTTTTGCTTGCATATATGTGTGAGGGTGTCAGATCCTTTGAAACTGAAGTTACAAACAGTTGTGAGCTGCCATGTCGGTACTGGGAATTGAACCTGGGTCCTGTGGAAGAGCAGCCAGTTCTCCCAACTGCTGAACTGTCTCTCCAGCCCAAGTTGCTCAGATTTTATTAGCCTCTTTCCCAGTCTTTGAAAATGAAATAGTATTTCTGATATGAGCTTTTGTGTAGGATGCTAGGGATGTGTGCGCTGGCGTGTTGGCATTGTGTATGCCAAGCTTGTGCTGATGCTGAGCTATAGGTCCAGCCCCTAAAAGCTTTCAATATTTGAGGAAGTATCAGGTCTATGTCTTCATGCTAGTTGTAAATAGTGTGTGTGTGTGTGTGTGTGTGTGTGTGTGTGTGTTGAGGATTTAAACCAGCAATTTGTCACATACTCTACTGCTGAGCTACACCCCCAGCTGATGGTTTATTGCACTTGCTTACTTACAAATGAACCTGCGTATTGTCCACATTCATTAGCTCTAACTCTGGCTGTCTTGTGCAAAGTTTCTGCACTCTGATGTCTATTTTGTTTTGTTGAAATTTTTTTATGTGTATAGATATTTTGCCTACATTTGTATCTGTGCACCTTTTGCACAAGGTGTTAGATCCCTTGGAACTGGAGTTACAGATGATTGTGAGCTGCCATGTGGGTACTGGGAATTGAACCCGGGTCCTCTGGAAGAGCAGCTAGTGCTCTTAACGGCTGAGCCATTTATCTAGCCCCATATATTGTATATTTTAAATACGAAACTAGATTGGTTTTCATAGGAGGACTTCTACACAGTTACTTTTATTTTAATTAACTATTGTTTGTTTGCTTGGTTCTTTTTATGGAGAGGTGCTTGGTTTTTGGTTTTCTTATTAGAGAGAGTCACATTAGGTAGCCCTGGCTTGCCTAGAACTTGCTACACTGACTAGGTTAGCCTGGAACTCAGAGATATACCTGCCTCTGCGTGTGGAATAAAGGTGTGCACCACCACACCCAGCTCACTATTTGTTTTCTAGCTCTTAATGTGCTAGCTTAAGTCTTGATTATTAAGAACAAAGAAGCTAAACTTTCTTCTCCAGTCATTCCCTTTTCTCTCCCCTGGCCCCCATTTTGGTCTCCTGTACGCTAGGCTGGCCTGGAACTCAATGTAGCCGAGGATGAGCTTGAATTTCTGACCCTCCTTCCTCCACCTCCTGAGTACTGGGATACGTTTACCATTTATGTCATCGTCCCATATGATATGCAGTTCAGTTTCAGAAGCTAGAGATTAGGATCTGATGTTGTTCCTGTTGCTATGTATCTCTCTTACACTAGATTTTCTAATGGGCATTATGCAGTATCCATTCATATTGTATTTATTTATTTATTTATTTTGATTTTTAGAGACGGAATTACTGGCTGTCCTGGAACTTGCTCTGTAGACCAGGCTGGCCTTGAACTCAGAGAGCCACCTGCCTCTGCCTCCTGAGTGGTAGGATTAAAGTCGTGCACCACCACAACCTGGCCTTTTTAATTTTTCATATTGTTTTTAAAATGTTCTTTTTAATCTCTAATGTTTATTTTAGATAAAGTTTTAATCCATTGATAGTTAGAAAATAGTTCACAAAATTTTTCACTAACCTTTTGAATCAAACTTTCTTTTTTTTGTTTGTTTTTTGAGACAGGGTTTCTCTGTGTAGTTTTGGTACCTATCCTGGATCTCGATCCACAGACCAGGCTGGCCTTGAACTCACAGAGATCCGCCTAGCTCTGCCTCCCAGGATTAAAGACGTGTGCCACCACCGCCTGGCTTGAATCAAACTTTCAATGCATAAGAGTGCTTTAATTATAAGCACGTTAAGAGCATAAACTCACTGTATGTGGTGGTTCATCCCTGTAATCCCAGCACTTGGGAGGCAGAGACAAGTAGATCTTGGTGAGTTCAAATCCACCCTAGTCTACATAGCCAGTTCTAGGCCAGCCAGAGCTACATAGTAAGACTCTGTATCAAAAAAAATATATATCCTTTTATTTTTAGCGAAGGTGCCAAAGCTACACAGAGAAACCCTGTCTCAAAAAACAAAAAACACTTTTATTTTAAAAAATTATGTTTTACAAGTGTTGTATTACAAGAGGATTTAATATATGCTTTCTGATCTCACATAGAATAACATTTGCTTCCAAACGTGGTGCTGCCTGTGGCTTCAGTGATCCCAACAGGTGGAAGAATATGGCCGACTCGGTGGAGTCAACTCCCTTGCCTTCAACCCAGGATCGGCTGGCCGTCCTTTGCCCTTCTCAGGAGCTCCTGGAGTATTATCAGAAGAAGATGGCTACCTGTGAAGCAGAAAATGAAGACCTGTTGAAGAAGTTAGACCTCTACAGAGAAGCTTGCGAAGGACAGGTAAAGAAAAGAAGGAGAGGGTCCCTATACTGGGAACAGGGTCCTGGAGCTTGCTGAGCAAGCCTTACTGAATTGCTGAGCTCTCAGGGTAGTGAGAGACCCTGTCTCAACTGCTAAGTTGGAGATGCGATGGAGGAAGACACCCAGCATCAACTTCTGGGTTGCACATGTACCTGCATGCACACATGCACACACACAGAGAACAGGTGAGACATAGGGCATTCGTGGTGCTGTTGTGTATGAAAGGAAGGCTTAAGGGCTTTGTTGTTCATGTGTGAGCTTTCTAATCAACTAATCCTGTAGCTTTGTCTCTACCTCTCTCCCTCCTGCCCTTCCTCCTTCCTTTCCTTTAGTGCTAAATATTGAACCTAGGGCTTCATGGCTGCTTACCAGATGCTCTACCACCGGGCTACATCTCTGTCTCATCCTTTTGCTTTTTAGCTCAAATGTGTGCACAACCCAGTGCTGCCACTTGAATTCCGTATTGGTGAAGCCACCAGTTAGGAATATTCCTACATGAACTGACCCCTCCATATCCACTAAGAAGTTTCCTTTGAACCTTAATACGTTTTTAACTACTCTGTTGGTTTTTTTGCAGCATAAACTTGAATGGAATTTGCAGCAGAGGGAGGAAGAGATTGCTGAGTTGCAGAAAGCCCTGAGCGATATGCAGGTCTGCCTCTTCCAGGAACGGGAACATGTTTTACGACTCTACTCAGAAAATGACCGACTGAGAATCAGGTACTAAATAGAAGGAGGGAAATGTTAGAATTATAACTCTGAGGTACACTTAAAATGATGAAATTTATTGATAGTCATTCTCTTTGGTTGTGTCCCCAGGAAACAAACTTTGAGTAGAGATTTACCTGAAAGGCAGTTACTGGAGAGGTTCTTAGAAAAAAAAACACCAATGAGCAAATTAGAACTATGATAGGGTGGTTAAAGAGGCCAGCCCCACAGCAAGCTCTAGGACGAGGGTGGTCTTTCAAAGGCAACGGATTCAGACTTTTGTATCTTGATATTGACTAGTTGTTGGCTACAGATGGCACTCATGAAGAAGTCATAAACTTGTGAGAGAAAGCCTTTATCCAATCATAATTCCTTTAAAACGAAACAACTTATTTTCTTTATTATTGTGTATGTATACCTGATGTTTGTGGGGGGGGGGTCGTGATTGCAACTGAGCACAATGTGGAGCTCAGAGGACAACTTTGGACACTTGGTTTTCTCCTACATAGCAAGTGCCTTTATCCCACTGAGCCAACTCACCAGCCCCCAGTGACTTTTTTTTTTTTCAAGACAGTTTTGCTGGGCAGTGGTGGCGCACGCCTTTAATCCCAGCACTCGGGAGGCAGAGCCAGGTGGATCTCTGTGAGTTCGAGGCCAGCCTGGGCTACCAAGTGAGTTCCAGGAAAGGTGCAAAGCTCCAGAGAGAAACCCTGTCTCGAAAAAACAAAAAAGACAGAGTTTCTCTGTGTAACAGTCCTGGCTGTCCTGGAACTCACTCTGTAGACCAGGCTGGTCTCGAACTCACAGAGATCCACCTGCCTCTGCCTCGCGAATGCTGGGATTAAAGGTGTGTGCCACCACCACCCAGCTTAATTTTTTAAAGTTTTTATTTTATGCCTATGGATGCTTTGCCTGCCTGTATGTCTTGCTTTCGTGGTGCCGGCAGAGGCCAAAAGAAGGCTTCAGGTCCCCTAGAACTCAAGTTACATGTAGGTGCTAAGAACCAAACCTGGATCATCTGGAAGAAGAGCCAGTGCTCTTAACCAGTGAGCCATCTCTCCAGCCCTTTAATTCCATTCTTTTCTGACAGCATCTAGGCTAGCCTCAAACTTGCTTATGTAGCTTTGAATGCGCTGCATCATTTGGTAATTCGGTTTTTAACTTTTTGTGGAACTGCTCTGCTGGTTTACATGGTGGGTGAGTCTTGAAGTTCCCCCCTGTGACTACTATAAGAAATGTCCAAAGACCCTGTAGTGAGGTACTTGTGGAGACACAGGGTCTTGTCTCCTGGGAGATCAGGCTCTTCTTCAGCTTATAGTCTAGAAAATTGGATAGAGGCTGTAAATGGGTTATGTAGCCCTGCCTGACCTAAAACTTGCTATGTAGACCCAGCTGACCTCCAACTCACAGAGAGCTGTCTGCCTCTGCCTCCCAATCCTGGGACTAAAGGCGTGCGCCACCATGCCGGGTGTGATTGTTTGTTTGTTTGTTTATCATTGTGAAGTGTATGTGAGAGAAAGCACTCAAGCAGGCGCATGTGTGCACGGTGTATGTGTGTGTGTGGAGGTCAGAAGACAACTTTTGGGAGTCAACTCTTTCCTTCTACCATAGGTTTCGGGGAATGAACTCAGGCGCCAAGTTTGTGCAGTGAGCATCTTAACTCACTGAGTCATCATGCTGGCCAAAGACTGGATTCTTGTTCATGTTTTTGTTTTTGTTTTGGAGGAGTACAGTGGTACAGTCCCCAGCCTCGTTTCCTTCTTGATTAGTCTAATTGTTTAAGCTATCCCCACAACTCCTCACCTGTCTTACTCTGAGGAACAGGATGATCATCACTGTCATTAGCTCTGAAAAGTCCCTTTGTAGAGTTGCTTCCTTGGACTCTTCCTGACACTAACTGTGTTGGGTTGGATGCCTTGGGAAACAAAGTGCACAGTGAAGATCTTCCGGAATGTTTGGGGGAGCACGCTAAGGAGGGCTGCCTCTGAGGAAATAAGGGGAGTCTGGTTGGGCAGATGGAGAACTTCTACTGTGATTTGGTTACAGCAGGTCCCAGCCAGTACCATGGGGACTCTGAAGCTGAATGGCTTTTCAGAGCCATGTGAATTGAGGCAAAGAGAACGGACTCTTATTCCCCTTGAGCCCCACTGAGAAGGCGCTAAATGCAGACTGTCCCTGAGGAATGGGAGGCATAAGCAGGGAGGCAAGTTCCTTTCTGTTTGAGCAGTTCTAAAGGGAGAGTGAACTGTGAGCCATGAGCAGGCTATATTCCTTATTGCTGAAGAGGAAGACCCACTATAGTTCCCTCCTAGAAACAGCCAAGAAATTATTCCCAGGATCCTTCTCTGGATTCCTGAATTGAAATACCTAATGTTTTGTTTTACTTACTTATCTATCTATCTATCTATCTATCTATCTATCTATCTATCTATTTATTTATATATTTATATATTTTTTTCTGAGACAGGGTTTCTCTGTGTAGTTTTTGGTGCCTGTCCTGGAACTCATTCTGTAGACCAGGCTGGCCGCAAACTCACAGAGATCCACCTGGCTCTGCCTCCCGAGTGCTGGGATTAAAGGCGTGCACCACTGCCTGGAGAAATACCTAATGTTTTAATAGCTGGAGATGAGGTATAGATTGATCTTTTTCAGTTTCTTTTTCATTTTTAACTTGTGGTTACAGTCATTTTTGAAACATGAGAAGCTGGGGATATAGCTCAGTTGTAGAGTGCTTACACAGGGTCTTAGTTGGGGTTTCTGTTGCTGTAGAGAGACACAATGACCATGGCAACTCTTGTAAAGAAAAACATTTAATTGGGGTGGCTCACTTACATTATATATATATATATATATATATATATATATATATATATATATATATATATTCTTTTTTTTTTTTTGGTTTTTTGAGACAGGGTTTCTCTGTGTAGCTTTGCGCCTTTCCTGGATCTCGCTCTGTAGACCAGGCTGGCCTCGAACTCACAGAGATCCACCTGCCTCTGCCTCCCAAGTGCTGGGATTAAAGGCGTGTGCCATCACCGCCCAGCCATTTTATATTTTTATTTGCTCAGCTTGCTCCTTTTCATTATAAATCTTCATCAGAGTTAACACTAATAGCCATATGACAGAGTCAGTACTAGGCTGTTTTGAGATTTCCTCTGCCAATAGAATTAATCCAAAACTCTTCACTTTAGCCTCAGGCAGACTCTTAGTCAAGGGCAAAAAGCAGTCACATTCTTGACCAAAATATCACAAGAATGATTTCTAGGCAACATACTAAAATTCTTTACCTCTGAAACCTCTTGAGCCAGCCCTGGACAGTTCAAGTCATTGTCAGAACCATTGCCTTCCATGCTCCTATTATGGCCCATTAAGCAGTGCTTTCCTAACCCAAAGTGCCAAAGTCCAAATTCCTCCAAACAAAAACATGGTCAGGGTGCTGGAGAGGTGGCACAGCGATTAAAGAGTACTGATTGCTCTTCCAGAGGACCTGGGTTCGATTCACAGCACCTACATGGCAGCTCACAGCTGTCTGTAACCCCAGTTCCAGGGGACCTGGCACTCATGACAAAACACCGATGTACATGAAATAAAAATAAATAAATTTAAAACAAACAAACGAACAAAAATGGTCCGGCCTACCACAGCAAATACCCCAGTCCCTGGTACCACCTTCTGTCTTAGGGTTTCTGTTGCTGTGAAGAGACACCATAACCACAGCAACTCTTATAAGGGAAAATATTTAATTGGGGCTGGCTTACAGTTTCAGAGGTTCAGTCCATTATTGTCATGATGGGGAGCATGGTGCCTGGGAATATGGCAGCATGCAGGCAAACATGGTGTGGAGAATTCTACATCTTGCAGACAAGAGGAAGTGAACTGAGTGTCACATTGAGGGAAGCTTGAGCAAGAGACCCCACAGTGACACACTTCCTTCAATAAGGCCACACCTAATAGTGCCACTCCCTTTGGGGACCATTTTCTTTCAGACTACCACACATAGCATGCACAAAGCTCTGGTTCAGTTCCTAGCACTGCATAAACTGGGTGTGGCATAGGCCTGTTATCTCAAAGGCAGACAGCAGGGTGAAGGATCAGAGTTATGTTTGGCTATATGACAAGCTCAAGTCCAACCTGGCCTATATGAGACTATCTCAAAAAAAAAAAAAATCAGAGAGGAAATCTTTTGAATCTTGTCTTTTGTTGTTATCATTGTTGGTTTTGTTTTTTTGTTTGTTTGTTTTTAGACTACTATGTAGCCCTGGCTGATTTGGAACTTACTATGTAGACCAGGCTGGCATTGAACTCATAGATCTTCCTACCTCTGCCTCCTGAGTGCTAACATTAAAGGTATGTGCACAATTGTCCAGAAGGGAATTTTTTTTTTTTGGTGTGTGTGTGTGTGTATGTTTGAGACAGGATTTTTCTGTAGCTTTGGAGCCTATCCTGGAACTCGCTCTGTAGACCAGGCTCCCCTGGAACTCACAGAGATCCACCTGCCTCTGCCTCCCAAGTGCCACCACCGCCTGGCTCTTTTTTTTTTTTTTTCTTTTTTTGGTTTTTTAAGACAAGGTTTTTCTGTGTAGCCCTAGCTGTCCTCACTTTTGTAGACCAGGCTGGCCTCGAACTCACAGAGATCCACCTGCTTCTGCCTCCTGAGTGCTGGGATTAAAGGAGTGTGTCACCACCACCCAGCCAGAAGGGGAATCTTTTAAATAGAAATGGTTACTTACCTGGGGTATATAATGTCTACTTTTTATGAGAATTGCAGGGAACTGGAAGACAAGAAAAAGATTCAGAATCTGTTAGCTCTTGTGGGAACAGACACCGGTGAAGTGACCTATTTTTATAAGGAGCCTCCCCACAAAGTAAGTAATCTTTGCTGCTGTGGTATGATGAGTGTGACTTTTACAAGACACGGGTGAGGGTCTATAGTCAGAGCATTTCTACTTGTTAGAGATGCTGCGTGGAGAGTAGTTAGCAACCAGTGTCTACTGGAAGTTTAAAGCTTTTCTCTGCAAAAAAACCTTTTGAAGATTTTTTTTCACCATTAAAAAACCATGCTTGGGGGCAGGGTGGTGGTGGCTGGAGAGATGGCTCAGAAGTTAAGAGCACTGGCTGCTCTTCCATAGGTCCTGAGTTCAGTTCCCAGGAACCACATGGTGGCTCACAACCATCTGTAATGAGATCTGGTGCCCTCTTCTGGAGTGCAGACATACATACAGGCAGAACACTGTGTACACAATAAATAAATAAATCTTTAAAAAACAAAACAAGCTGGTCGGTGGTGGCATATATCTTTAATCCCAGCACTGGCCTACAGAATAAGTTCCAGGACAGCTACGGCTACACAGAGAAACCCTGTTTTTGGAAAAAAACAAAAAGAAACCTATGAGGGGCTGAAGAGATGGCTCAGTGGTTAAGAACACATTTTGTTCTCCAGTGGACCTGGGTTTGGTTCCTAGCACCCACATGGCAGCTCACAACCATCTGTAACTCCAATTCCAGGGCATCACACACCTTCTTAGACATGTACACGAAGGCAGAACATCCATACACATAAAATAAGTAAATTAAAATTTTAAAAGAAATCTCTGAATGCTCTCTCAAGGTATAACACATTTTCAGTCCAAAATGAGTCCTAAATAGTCCCACAAGTCATTTCAGGAGGGCTGTTACCTTACTGGGAGACCTGAATTTTAATTATGCTTCCTGTGTAGTTCTTTGTCAGTGCTACTAAATTTAGTACATTTTTCTTCTTTTCCTTTTTTTTTTTTTTTTTTTTTGATAACAAGGTTTCTCTATGTAGCCCTGGCTGTCCTGGAACTTGCTCTGGAGATCAGGATCCTTATATTTTCTTCTTTGAACAAGAATTTTTTTGCTATTCAAAATAGGGATTGTGAAGAGAATATTGTTAGAAGGATCATATTTTGAAAACTCAGAATTCCAGTGGATACTGATTTTTTTTTTTGTCTCTGTTTTGTTTTGTTTTGCTTTGGCTTTTGGTATTTTGAGACAGGGTTTCTCTGTGTAGCACTGGCTGTCCTGGAACTCACTCTGTAGATCAGGCTGGCCTCAAACTCCAAGAGATCCTCCTGCCTCTGTCTCTGGAGTGCTGGAATTAAAGGCATATGCCACCACTGCCCAGTCTTGTCCCTGATTCTTAAAAGAGTAACTTGCCAGGAATTTGAAAACACTCAGAAGTGTTTATTTGTTTTCATTGTATGCTTTAATTCTAAATTGTATCACTGTTGATGAATAAATGTACTTTTCTTTTGATTAAAAAAAAAAAAGAAACTTAAGCCTGGGCTTAGGCCATATCCAGAGTCCTTGCCTAGCTAGTGAGAGGCGCTTAGTTTATCTCCAGCACTACCCCAAGAGAAGAACAACAAGAAAACTAAAGCTTAGAGGGACAGATGTTGCTGCTGAGATTAGAGAAGAAAGCAGTGTAGTCTTTGTGAAGAAGACATTTCAGTTCTTAATTTCTTTTTAAATCTTTTTTTTTTCTGGAGCTGAGGACCAAACCCAGGGCCTTGCACTTGCTAGGCAAGCGCTCTATCACTGAGCTAAATCCCCAGCCCCTTAAATCTTTTTTATACTGATTATAAATTAATAATGGTCTTTATCAAGAACACACAGATGGTGAGACATACTTTAGTCCCAGCGATCAGGAGGTAGAGGCAGGAGGATCGTTGATTTCAAGGCCAACCTGATCTATACAGCAAGTTTCAGGACAGCCAGAGCTACACAGAGAAACCCTGGTTTTTGGGGAGTGGGGAGTGGACAAGGTCTGAATATGTAACCCAAGCAAGTCTCGACCTCAGTAAGTACCCCAATCTGGCTTCACACTTGTCATCTGCCTGTCTCAGCCACCCAAATATGGGGACCACAGGGGCACACCATCTTGCTTCTCTGCCTTTTCACATTTGTAAAGAATTTCTCCGTAGCATTATCATATATATCTAATGTGCATATTTTTACTATTAATGTCCTTGTCAAAGAACACCTTACTTTTGTTTTGTTTTGTTTTGGGTTTTTTGGGGGAGGTTTGAGACAAGGTTTCTCCATGTAACAGCCCTCTCTGGCTGTCCTGGAATTCACTTTGTAGACTAGGCTGGCCTTGGACACAGAGATCCATCTGCTTCTGCCTCCCAAGTGCTGGGTTTAAAGGTGTGCGCCACCACACCTTCCTCACAGAGTACTTCTCAAAATATATTTTATTAAGTAGCTCTGTGTTTTTATTTATTGTTAACTAGTTTGTATTAACACTGGATTTTACCCAAAAAATTATTTTGTACATGTTACTTTTCGTATAAATGTCATGTGTTTACATGATTATATCAGTTTTGAGCAATTTAATTTATAAATATTGGATCTGTAGAACTAAGGCTAAAAACTGCAATTTCACACATATTGAGACTACTTCTATACCTTTTTTTCTTCTTTAGGTAAGCATTCTCCAAAAGACTATCCAGGGTGTAGATGTGTGTGAACAATATGAGCCTTCCACTTTCAAAGCAGGTAACCACTGTTCTAGAAATTTTCACTGATGTTGAATTGAAAATCCCAATTAAAGTGATTAGAAAATTTTCCCTACTAGACAGAGATAGTGGTGTTCATAATGATGCCTCTGGCAGTCTAATACCATACATCTCTAGAACTATGCAAAGAATAAACTATTGTTTAATGTAAGGAGTTTTTGTTGTTTTGTGTGTGTGTATGTGTGTGTTCATATGGAGGCATGTGTGTATGGGTGTGCATTTGTGTGGATGCTAGAGGTCTATGTCAGGGGTCTTCACCTTTTTGAGACAGAGCTTCTCACTGACCCTGGCGTTCACTGATTTGGCTAGACTCTGTCCAGTGAGCTCTAGGGATCCTCTTGCTTCTGCCTTGCTGGTGTTGGGGTAACGGGTGTGTGGACCTGGCTGCTGTTTACCTGGGTGCTGAGGATCTCAACTTGGGTCCCCTTGTTTACACAACAGGCACTTTACTGGCTGAGCCGTCTCCCCAGCTCCTTAGAACAACTTTCTTTTGCTTTTTAAAAAATACATTCTTGCTGGGCGGTGGTGGTGCACGCCTTTAATTCCAGCACTTGGGAGGCAGAGGCAGGCGGATCTCTGTGAGTTTGAGACTAGCCTAGTCTACGAAGCGAGTTCCAGGACAGCCAGGACTATACAGAGAAACCCTGTCTCAAAAAACAAAAAACAAACAAACAAAATACATTCTTACTAATTAACTCGACAGTTACACATATTTATAGAGTACAGTGTGACACTGTAATGTGTATATACATTGTGTTAGTGATCAGCGTGTAATTGGTAGATAGCCATCACCTTTGTAAGTACTATGTAGTCCTCTCTGCTTCTAGCCATTTCCACATATACAGTTGTAGTTACACTATTGTGTCAGAAAACGTTCGAAGTTACTCCAGCTGTCTGGCAGCACCCCTGCCCATCAGCCATCCTCCCCCACCTTTCCTCCTCTGTACCTTCTCAGGCTCTAGTGAACTCATTCAATTTTTGTTATTTGTTACCCTTTCTTTTGAAAATTGTGTGGTATGTCATAACCAAAGTGTTTAAATTGGGCTTTTACTGAGAAAATATTCACAACTCCAGAGGAACATTCTGCCAGAAGATGAATATGATTACCAGGTGAAATGCTGCAGAATTCCCGTAAGAGATTCTGCCTGGGACTCAAGCGCTGTACGTCTCCAGTGTGTCCTTTTCCTTCCTTCTCCTGCAGGGTTAGTGCTGACGCTTGAGGAGCAGGAAGAAGAGCTGAGCAGAGTTTGATGACCTTTTGTTTTCTATTTTAGGTCCTAAAGTAAACAAAAAAAGAGTAACAATAAAAGAAAAGGAAGACATAACTGAGCGTTACCAGAGGGAAGTACAGACACTCATCCTGCAGGTGATACATTGGTCTGGACAGACCAAAGTGGTTTCTCTCCACACATTTAGCTGTGTGTAATGCACCTTTGCTATCATATGAGAACTGTCTCTTTGCACTTGCATTGCTTTCGGGCATCCTGGGGCCAAGAAATTTGAGATTCTTCTTAATATTTGAGCACTTTTTTTTTTTCAAGCAAAGTTAGAGATAGTGGTTTTTTTTTGTTTGTTTTGTTTTGTTTTGTTTTGTTCTGTTTTGTTTTGAGACAAGGTCTGTCTACACAGCTCTGGCTGTCCTGGAGCTCACTATGTAGACCAGGCTGGCCTCAAATTTAGAGATCCACCTGCCTCTGGGATTAAAGACATGCATCACCACACCTAGTTTAGAGATAGTTTTAAAATATAGATTTAAATGTGAACATTAATTTCAGAGAGAAAGCCCTAGATAGTGGCATATTCCTATTAATCTCAGTACTTAAGAGGCTGAGGTAGGAGGATTGTCATACATTTGAGGCCTGCTGGGCTCTATGTAGGGAACCCCAGGCCAACTAGGGCAACTTAGCAAAACCCTATCTCTATATCTCCCCATCCCTCTAAGAGAGATGATGTCAGAGTGAGGAGTTCTGTTGTATGGCATACCTGAAGAGAAAAACTCCTGAGATACATGAATAAGTCATATGGAGACTTTAGTCACTGCCTCCGATTTGTTGGAGATTTTAAAGGCAAAAACTGCAATTGTGACATATACAGAAAGGCAGTGTGGACATCTGCAGCACGCAACTGTTGTTAACAGAAGTGGAGGTAGAGCAGTTCAGTGGTCAGGCAGTCCTCATAACCTTTAGGTTAGGGACGCATTGTGTAGAATTTATGGCTGGTCCAGAGACCAGTTTACACTAGGAATTTATGGTGAATATATGGTTGATCTGAGTGACCAGAGTCTAGTTTACCCAAGATAGTTTTAGCACTTAAAGTATTCTTAGGAATACTTTCACAAGATGGCATAACTATAGTTCAGTAGCCCATTCCACTGCCTCTGGAAGCCTAATACTGTACAGATCTGGAACTATACAGAGGGTTTTTTTTTATTGTTGTTAGTGTGTGTGTGTGTGTGTGTGTGTGTGTGTGTGTGTGATCATATGGACGTTGTATATAGTGCATATTTGGAATTTCTCAGGAGAGAATAGCCTCATAGCACTTATACTTTAAAATCATTACTGTCTATTTGAACATTCTAGAATGCTTCTGGCAACCTTTAGTTTACATGCTAAGCCCTAGCTAACAAAACCATCCTAAAGTAAGAATTCCCATTTGTTTTGTTTTTGTTTTGCAACAAGATCGCATCATGTAGCCCTGGCTGGTCTGGAACATGCTGTGTAGACCAGGCTGACCCAAAACTCACAGAGATCCTCCTATCTCTGCCTTTGCCTCTTGAATGTTGAGATTAAAGATGTATACTACCATGCTTGGCTAGAATTTACTTTGTGATTGGCCTGAGGACTATACAGAGAGTAGCATAGGAAAGTTTGTCTGTATGACAAATCAACATTTGGGGTTATATTGATTTATTTAGTGCATATGTTCTAATATTCATTTATTTAGTGCATATGTTCTAAAATCTAGGAAAATATAAATCATTAACTTACTACTGGGTATAGACAGATTTTTCTTTCACAAAAAAAGACACAGAGACTTATTATTAATTATAAAAGCTCGGCCTATAGCTTAAGCTTGTCCCACTAGCTCTTCTATCTTAAACCATATCTTTTAATCTATATTCTTTTACGTGGCTCAGTTAGTTACCTTTACTCTGTAATGTCCATCCTGCTTCCTCTCCATCTGGCTGGTGACTCCACCTTTCTTCTTCCAAGACCTCTCTCTGTCCAGAAGTCCCTGCTATACCTCCTGCCTAGCTACTGGCCATTTTGCTTTTTATTAAACCAATCACAGTGACATATCTTTAAACAGTATAATCAAATATCTTGCAGCATTTCCCCCTTTTGGTATGAATAAAAAGGAAAGAATTTTAACTCTAACATAGTAAAACTACATACAATAAGAACAATTATCAGGTAAGAATTAAACATTTACAACGTCTAGTCTATTTGCATTTGGCAAATTCATAGAAAATACTCCATTATTAATACTATATGGTGAGTCCAAGTTTTGTACCTAATTTACCTTCTATCATAACTAAGGAAAACTATAACTATCTAGTCTTCAACTCCATCAGAGACTCCAGGAGGATATAATATTACCTGAGTAAACAGAAAGTGCAGACCAAGCAACTTCCAAAACATGAAATGACAGAGACACTACAGGCCTAGAATATCTGACAGACTTTATTATGAAGCAGGAAATTTTTGAAGGATTGTCCTACCCTGTCTTGACAAAGTTCGGCAATCACTTTATGTGTCCTGTTTGTCCAGTTTGGACAGCAAGTACTGTCAGCAGTCAAGGCAAAGGCAGTTTCTTGCCCAAATGGCTGACTTTGCCACAAAGAAAGTACACTCCATATGGAGGTTCTTTGATGCCCATCATCCTTTTTTGAAGTAAATTGGTACTGCCAGGAGCAGATGTGTCTGACTATCATGAAAAGCCATACATTATTAAAGCATTTAAAATGCCATATTCTGTAGGTCTTCAAAGTGTTTAAAGTTCACCTATCTCTCTAAAATATGTATCTGTATGACCTTGAAAACATACCTAACATGACTATGCTTTTGATAGTTATAGTTGACTAACTATTAACCTGTATTACTTTTTTATCCTAAATAGCTTTCAAGGACTAAAACTTTACATTACATTTTTAAATGAGCTGCATAGGTATAATACCTTAAATAAGAATAGAAACATATATAAAGTATAACAAAAGTAACCTTAAATTTGTATGAATATACAAAAATATCTTTTTTTTTTAAAGATTTATTTATTATATATAGTGTTCTGCCTGCATGTATCCCTGCAGGCCAGATGAGGGTACCAGATGTCATTACAGATGATTGTGAGTCACCATGTGGTTGCTGGGAATTGAACTCAGGACCTCTGAAGAGTAGAAACATATATATAGTATAACAAAAATATATAGTATAACAAAAATAACCTTAAATTTTTATCAATATACAAAGATCCATACCAAAGTAGACTCAACAACCCACCCTTTTATCTCATCATTTCTATATTATATCTCCCTTTTTCCCTTTAGAAAGAGATCCCTGAATCTAATCTTATTTGTTTAGCTTTTTCCCTGACCACGACCAGTAACAATTTGTAACCAATCTCCCTAAATGATGACAAACATCCATAACCCACCAAACGACTAAAAACCATCCATCCCACCTCTTGGAAATGTGGCTGTTATGTTCTCTAGAATGCTTTCTGTTGTCTGGGGGCAATGATAACTTCTGGGGACCCTGAGAAAATTGGGATAATGATCAAGCTCTGGGAGAGCTAACTATTGTCCAGTCTCTGTGTGATGGGAAAGTGCACGGCTTATCTGGAGTTCTGAGTGGACAGTCTTTGAGGCTGGACCATCTCAGCCAGTGGCCTTGAAGCTGTTCTGGATGCAGAACTCCGAGGAAACTACAATAGAGGCACTCTGAGAGGCTGAATCACTGGGGCCACCCGTTTTCATTACTGCCTGGTCCCCTTGCTCTGAGAACATACAAACTTTCAAAGGTAACATACATATTTGCATTAATACAAGTATGGGCTGTGTGTTGTGCACAATCCAGTGAAAGGTGAATTTTTCGTTTTGTGTTTGAGCAGGTAAAATATATGTCACCTGTCTTGTAGTTTTTTTTGTTTGTTTGTTTGTGTTTTTTTTGTTTAAGGTTTATTTCTTTATGTCTGTAGCCAGGATTTTTAGGAGGTCTTCTCTGAACAAACCTGATCCTCTTTAACCTTGAATGAATCCACAACCATTTGTTTTCTGTGGAAACAAAAGCATAACCTCTTCCCCAAAGTAATGCATTTTTTGACTTCTATTTTAAAGTTAAGACGTTTCTAAAGTATCTAGGCTGCTTAATTCAGCAGTCCCTTTCACAATCCAGTGTCTCTCAACAGCTGTCATTCTGTTCATTAGCATTTAAAAAATTCAGAATCAATAAGATATCATATAGAGTCCAGACTCTCTGTGTATTTTCCATCTTTACATGGCTTATCTTTTTTATATTATTTTATTCTCTTTTAAGACTTTATCTTATTATTTATAAACTATTTTTTTCTATGACTGTCTATACCCATTTTCTTTTCTTTTTTAAGCCTACACACATTTTAAAACATACTATACCTTTTTAGAGGTTTTATGTGTCTGGATCTGTCTTTACTTAGCATCTGCAGCATTCTCTGATCCTGTGAGACAAATTATAAACCATGTCAGCTGCCAGTGCTGCCCAGCTTAGCACATTTTGCTGGTGGCTGGTTCCAGTCCACAGGCAGCCAAGCCTACCTGGGAGACCTTAGTTAAGAGGAAGTTGCATTTGATTTTGTGTTCTGAACTTTTTTTTTTTTAAGCTTTCTTAGGCCTTATGTTGATACTTGGTCCCACATTGGATGCCATGTGTAGACAGATTTTTCTTTGGTCCATCAACTCACAAAAAACAACATGGAGACTACTATTAATTATAAATGTTTAGCCTGTAGCCTAGGCTTGTCTTACTAGCTCTTCTAACTTAAACCATATCTTTTAATCTTTGTTCTTTTATGTGGCTCAGTTACCTTTACTCTGTAATGTCCATCCTGCTTCCTCTCCATCTGACTGGCGACTCCACTTTTCTTCCTCCCAGAGTGCTCTCTGTCTCGAAGTCCTTGCTATTCTTCCTGCCTAGCTATTGGCCATTTAGCTTTTTATTAAATCAATCACAGTGAAACATCTTTACACAGTATAACCAAATTATCTCAAAACAAGTTATTTGTATGTTATATGAAATGTTCCTATCCTTATTGGAGCAGTGGTCCATTGACTTGAAAATTTTCTGCCTTTGGCCAGTATCTCTTATATTTTTGGTTGTGAGCCTAGCCTTTAACGGCTGAGCCATCTCTCCAGCCCTGGCCAGTATCTCAAAAGTCATAACAGCCAGACCCCAAGAAAGAAATTACATTACATCCATTTTGCTCTACATTTTCAAACCAAAACTGGAAGAGTCGCCCATGTTTCTGTATAACTAGGGCATCCTTTTTGTTTTGTTTGTTTGAGACAGGGTTCTCTGCCTGTCCTGGAATTCACTCTGTAGACCAGGCTGGCCTTAAACCTCAGAGATCTGCCTGCTTCTGACTCCTGAGTGCTGGGATTAAAGGCGTGCACCACCATTGCCCGGCTAACTGGGGCATCTGAAAAGGAAGACCGTCCTCTAAGTCCAGAAGGAGACAGTGAGCAGTGAGAATAATGGGGTAGAGAGAGGAGACTACAGCTCTTACTCTGGGTGGTGTGGATGAGGGGCTGAGTGTGGACAAAGAGGTGGTTCTTGTATAGCCCGACACCGTTTACAAGGCATTAACTAAAGAGAACTAGGAGTTAGGAGATGGCTGAGCTGGTAAAGTACCTGTCAGAAAGCAGGAGGACCCGAGCTCAGATCCCTAGCCGAGCTGGGGACTGGAACAGTGGCTCAGCAGTTAAGGACACTGGCTGCTCCTGCAGAGGACCCAGGTTCAATTCCCGGCATCCATATGGCTGCTGATAACCTCCTGTAACTCTGATGTCCTCTTCTGACCTCCACAGCAGGCACCAGGCATACATGAGACAAACATATGTGCAGGCAAAACATTCATACACACACAAAAAAAAAATAAAATAAAATAAAATATATATTAAAAGAAAAAAAAAACTGGCCTGACGAGACATGTCTGTAATCCCACTGGGAGAGTGGGGACAGGCAGGTCCCTGGAGCTCACTGGCCATTCAGCTTAGGCAGTTGGTTAGCTTGAGATTCAGTGAGAAACCGTGCTTTAAGATAGAAGGAGGTGGGGAGTGATTGAAGGAGACGCTCCACTCACTCACATGTACACACACATGTGAACTCAGCACAGGCACACACACACACACAGACACACAGACACACAGACACACACACACACACACACACACACAGAATCAGAACTGAGATCTGTCTGTTTTGCTGCTGTTTCAGGTTTTGCCCCCACCCCACCCCACCCCGTTTTACTTTGTTCCCAGGAAGGGCTCACCTTCAGAGATCTGAAGTCATAGCAGCGGGAATGGCTGACTAACTCACTCCTCTCGGCCAGTATAGGTAGAAGCCCTTCAGGCACAGCTGGAAGAGCAGACAAAGCTTTCCAGAGAACAAGTTGAAGGACTCATGGAGGACAGACGGATCCGAATTGAGGAGATACAAGTTCAGCACCAGAGAAATCAAGACAAAGTCAGAGAGCTGACTAAAAGGTGAGGACTCAAGAATTAGGGTCCTAACAGGTATCCTGTTTTTCTGAATGTCTTAGGAGATTTCTCTGCTTACTGTTAAGAGCACGTCTGGATTCAGTTCCCAGCATGCACATCAGGTGGCTCCCAACCATCTGTGACTCCAGTCCCAGGGGATCTGGCACCGCCACACAGACATGTGCAGGCAAACCACCAACGCACATGAAAGAGAAATAAATTATTAAAAAAAAAAAAAGATTAGTGGTTATGGGGATGGAGAGATGGCTCAGCAGTTGAGAGCATTCGCTGCTCCTGAGAAGGACCCTAGTTCACTTCCTGGCACCTGTGGCCTCAGCCCCTCCCATGTTGCTTCAGTTCAGTTTGGGCTTCAGTCAAACTAATAATTTGAGGAACAATTGTTTTAGCAAGCACGTCACTAGGCGCAGTAACCCCTGAACTGAAGACTTACTCAGACCAAATCCACATTCCCGTAATGATTATAATGATTAGTGTGCCTTTCTTTTCTTTTCTTGTTTTTTTCGAGACAGGGTTTCTCTGTTCAACAGTCCTGGCTGTCCTGGAACTCACTCTGTAGACCAGTCTGGCCTTGTACTTACAGTGATCCACCTGCCTCTGCCTCCCAAGTGCTGGGATTAAAGGCATGTGCCACTATTGCCCAGCTAGTGTGCCTTCATGATGGCCCTCCCACCATATATTGTACTTGCATCTTTGTTCCCTAGGGTTTTTCTCTTCAGTCTCTGTCCTACCCTAAGTCCTGTAGTAGCCACAAGATAGGCAAGTTGCATACTTGATGATCCTTGCTAAGTCGCACCTAACCGTCTCCTTTCCCCATTGAACACGCTTAATTGGTTTTTATTTCATTTTTATTTTTGAGACAGGATCTCACTGTGTAGCCCTGGCTGGCCTGATACTCTGTTTAGTGGAGGTTGGCCTTGAAAACACAGAGAGAGACCCTTCTGCCTCTGCCTTCCCGAGTATTGCAGTTAAAGGTATCCATCAGCACGCTGGCCTCATGTTTAATATATGTGTGTGTATAAGTGTGTAGGGGTGTGTGTGTGTTGTATGGAGGCCAGAGGTCAGCCTCGGGTGCTGTTTCTTGTTTCTTAGACAAGGTTTAAAACAGTGTTTCTCACTGGCCTGGAACACAGTGACTAGCCTCAGGGATTTGCTGTCTTCATCTCCCCTGCACTGGAGTTGTAAGTGTGTGCTACCATGTCTGGCTTTTTCATGTGGACTCTGGGGAGAAGTTCAGGTCATCCTGCTTGTACAGCAAGCACTTTACCAACTGAGCTTATTTCTTTAATATTTATTTATTTGTGTATATGGGTGTTTTTTTTTAATAAAGATTTATTTATTTTATGTATGTGAGTGCTCTATATGCATGTATGACTTTATGCCAGAAGAGGGCATCAGATTCCACTAGTGATGGTTGTGAGCCACCATGTGGTTGCTGGGAATTGAACTCAGGACCTCTGGAAGAGCATCCAGTGCTCTTAACCATCTCTCGAGCTCCATGTATGGGTGTTTTGCCTGCATGTTTGTCTGTACACCACATGCATGCCTAGTGCTTGAGGAAGCAGGAAAAGGATGTCAGATTCCATGAACTGGAATTACAGATGGTTGTGAACTGCCATATGGGTGCTGGGAATTGAACCTGGGTCCTCTAGAAGAGCAGCAGATATCTTTAACCATTGACCCATCTCTCCAGCCCCAAATTTATTTATTTTTTGAGACAAGGTCTCTAGCCAGGCTGGTCTCAAAATCCCTATATAACCAAGGGTTTACCTTGAACAACTTAGTCCCCTCTCTCTACTTTCCAAGTGCTAAGCTTACAGGAATATTCCCCTGTAGCCCATTTATTTGGTGCTGAGGATTGAACCCAGGACCCTGTATATGCTGGACCAACTGAATTACATTCTCAGCCCTAATTTTATTCATTTTTGGCTTTTTTTTTTAAAGATAGGGTTTCACTATTTAGCTTTGGATGGCCTTGAACTCATAGAGATCTGCTTGTCTCTACCTCCCAAATTCTGGGATTAAAGTCGCATACCACCAGTCCTGGCTATTTTGGGGTGGAGGGTGGTATTGGTATTGGGTATTAAACTTGGGGCTTCATGCATGCAAGACAAGCACTATACTATAAAGCCCAGCTCATAATATGTGATTTAAAAATAAACAAAAAAGATTCATTTTAGTTATTAATTATTTGTGTATGGATGAATCTGTGTATGTATGAGTGCAGTTGCCCATGGAGTCCAGAAGAGATCAGAGCAGTGTGTTCTCTCAGCCACTGAGCCATCTCCACCCAAATAATGGTGACTTTATATTAGTTTTCCAGCATGTAAAAAGCCACCCTGCATATTGTACAGGTCTGCTCAGTTCCTTTCGTTAGATGCATCATCCTAAGGCTATTTATTGAGTGGCCTGAAACCCTAGGCCATTAATGTCTGTCCTTGGATGTCACTTTTTTTTTTTTTTTTTTTTTTGCTGTTATTTTATGTATGTTTACAGTGCTTGGTTTTGAACCTAGGACTACATACAAGCTAGGCAAGTGTTCTAGTATGTGAGCACATCAGCCCAGCTGTGATATTTTAAATGTTTTTATTAGCATATATTAATTATACAAATTATATATAATAATGGATTTCATTCTGGCATTTTCATTCATGTACATAATATAGTTTGATCATATTCACCCCCTTTACTTTCTCTTGTCCCCCTCCTACTCCGTAATCTCGGGTTTTTTGTTTGTTTGTTTTGATTTGTTTATTTATTGTGTATACAGTGTTCTGCCTACATGTATGCCTGCATGCCACAAGAGGACACCAGATCTCATTGTAGGTAGTTGTGAGCCACCATGTGGTTGCTGGGAATTGAACTCAGGACCTCTGGAAGAGCAGTCAGTGCTCTTAACCTCTGAGCCATCTTTCCAGCCCCTAATCTGGATACTTTCAAACCAGTTTGTAATTGTGAACATAAAAGTTGCATATGTGTCAGGGCTGGAGAAATGGCTCAGTGTTCAATTCCCAGCACCCACATGGCAGCTAACAACTGTCTGTAACTCCAAAATCTGACACCCTCACTCAGACCTACATGCAGGCAAAATGCCAATGCACATAAAATAAAAATAAATAAATTTTAAAAAAAGTTGCATATGTGCCCTGCTACTCAGGAAAGAGCTACTATTTGATCAGTCAGGAGTTATAGTGATTGCTTTATGGTATTTAATGCTCTTGCAGGCAATTGCATCATTTACTATAGTAAATGCTTTTCTAGATGTTGATGTTAACCCAATAAAGTTGCCAGCTTCTGAGGATATTCTTTTTTAGAGATACAAACATCATTTTTTTATTATTTATTTATTATGTATACAGTATTCTGCCTGCATGTGCCCTTGCAGACCAGAAGAGGGCACCAGATCTCACTATGATGGTTGTGAGTCACTATGTGGTCACTGGGAATTGAACTCAGGACCTCCAGAAGAGCAATCAGTGCTCTTAACCACTGAGCCATCTCTCCAGCCCCAAAGATCATTTTTTTTTTTTTATTTCAAGTATCAAGAACAGTCATCAGGACTAGTCAGTGCTTTTGTATTTCCAGTAGTTGATACTGCCCTTATTCTGGTGGTAAGGAAAAAATTCAGCTATCTTTTGCTCAGGAAAAAATATGCTGTGTGTCTTTTTTAAACTGCTACTATTTTTTTTTTTTAAAGATTTATTTATTGTATATACTGTGTTCTGCCTGCATTTATGCCTGTAGGCCAGAAGAGGGTGCCAGATCTCATTACAGATGGTTGTGAGCCACCATGTGGTTGCTGGGAATTGAACTCAGGACCTCTGGAAGATCAGCCAGTGCTCTTAACCACTGAGCCATCTCGCCAGCCCCTAAAACTGCTACTATTTGGGAGTTCATATTGTACAGTTTTTAAAGAAGCTGTATTTCTCTTTTGGAATAGCCTTGTATTTCAGCTAAGCAGTGTGAGCATCTTCATGTTCACAGTTGTGGTTTTTTTGTTCGTTTGTTTTTTTCATAGTCTCCATCATACCCAAGACCTGCTCTATGAAAGCACCAAAGACTTTCTACAGCTAAGATTTGAAAACCAAAATAAAGAGAAGGTATGGATGCTTGAAAAAGATCTCTTGATGTCCAAGCTTAAGCAGTACAGAGTGCACTGTAAGAAGAAAGAAGATAAACTTGGAAAAGTTATTCCAGTTTTACATGAGACTCATCATACTCAGAATGAATATATTAAGGTAATGCCATTATTTTCTGGAAGAGTTGAAAACCTTGGGATTCCTTGGGGTTAGAATCAAGGCTCAGTTGGTGGAATGCTTGCATAGCTTACAGAGTCCCTGGGTTTGATCTCCAGCACTGCATAAAGCCAGATGTGATGGCTCATGTCTCTAATCCCAGCATTTGGGAGATTAGAGATGGGAGGATCACAAATTCAAGGTCATTGTTGGCTGAATAGTGAGTTTGAGGCCAGCCCGAGCTACATGAGACCCTGTCAGAGACTTGGAGAATTTCAGAGAGCCTATAAATTGTTATATAAGATCCATTCAGTTCTTGAAGCTAAGTAGCAATAACGTCATGAAATGGATAACAAAAAGTAACTGATCATGATGGTATTTGAGGATTTGAAATACTAAGCTAGACAGGATTTAAGGCCAGGCTATGGAGTGAGACCTTGTCTCAAAACAAAAATATTACACTTCATTTCCTAATTCAACAAATGGTTCAGACTCTGGGGACATTACTGTTTTAGTAAGTTAGACAGAGTGTTTTCTCATTGTGTTTATATTTTAGTGAACAAGGAAAAATCATAGTTTATCAAGTAATTTTATATTAATAAGAATTATGTAACAATTGTATTACTTGTTGGAACCCCACTAGAAGGGGAACTGGGGACACCCTCTTAAGTCTGGTGCTTTTGCTGAGACCTGCAATGTAGATTAGGGGGAGGGCATCCCTGGCAATGTTTAAGCTCCCTGGAATATGTTTGAGGAAAGGGATGTTCTCATGGTTGTGAAATAAACAAGGAGAATGGAGGGCTGGCAGTGTAGCTCAATGGTAAACATCTAGTGTACACAAAACAAGGTCCTAGGTTTAATCCTTAGTACCACAAGAGAAAGAAAAAAACCTGGAGGAACTGACATGCGAGCCCTGGAGGGCTGGCAGAAACAGTCCTAGATGGCTGTGCAGGTCACTGTAAGGAATATAAGCATAGTTCTAGTGATTATGTCTTGGAAGGATTGTATAAGGAAGTAACATAATCTGATGTGAAGGTTGTCTCTTATCTTCTTTTGGCCTCTTGAGACAGGGTTTCAGGTAGCCAGGCTAGCTTCCAACTCACTGTAGCTGAAGATGGCCTTAACTTCTGATTGTAGATGGAGCTTTCCTGCCTGGCCCACAGTCAGGACAAATCTCTCTCACCCGCCAGTCCCACAGCCACTCAGACCCGACCAAGTAAACACAGAGACTTATATTGGTTACAAACTGTATGGCCGTGGCAGGCTTCTTGCTAACTGTTCTTACAGCTTAAATTAATCCACTTTTATAAATCTATACCTTGCCACATGGCTCTTGGCTTACCGGCATCTTCACATGCTGTTTCTCATCATGGCGGCTGGCAGTGTCTCTCTGACTCAGCCTTCCACTTCCCAGCTTTATTCTCCTCCTTGTCCCGCCTATACTTCCTGCCTGGCCACTGACCAATCAGTGATTTATTTATTGACCAATCAGCAACACATTTGACATACAGACCATCCCACAGCACTTCCCCTTTTCTTTTCTTAAAAAGGAAGGTTTTAACCTTTACACATCTCCAAAGTCAGCTTGGTATATTTGGGAATTTGGGCGTAGCTTCTCTTACTACTTCCTGCTGGAGGGGGGCGCTGTATCTTTTGGAGAATCAAAGAAAATTTTAGGATCATGGAGTAGTCCGTGAGGCTGTATCGTCTGAGCCAGTTGCCTTGAAACCATTCTGGATGTTGGATCATCTGGGCCTTGGTGTCACCTTTCAGGGGGTCTTGGCTGGTCAAACCTGATGTATCTTAATCTGGAATAAATCCATAGCCTCTGGCTTTCTGTGGGAACAAAAGCAGAATCTCCTTTCCAAAGCAACATATCCTTATATCCAAATTTTGAAGTCAAGGTACCTTTAAAATATACATTTTGGCATAACTCACCAGCTTTTACAATCAAATGTTTTTCTGCAGTTAAAAATCCCAAAGACAACACAATCCAGATTCTCTGTGTAATATTCATCTTTATGTGGCTTATTTTTTATATTAATTTTACTGTCTCTTTAAAGACTTTATTTTTTAAAACCATGTATTTGTTTCTATAACTGTATATATCACCTTTTTTGTCTCTTTCAAGCCTACGTATATTTTACACACATTTTAAACTATTACATCTGAATCTGTCTTATTGTGAATCTATTGTTTTAAGCTGCAGCAGCTGTGGCTGCTGGCTCCGCCCACCTCAGCTTCCCAACATGGCGGTGGTAGTTTACCACCAGCTCTGGGAGCTATCGTGGGTCTATGCTTTTATCCAAGCAGCGTGTAGCCCAGAAACCTCTTTTTTTGTTTTGTACTAGCAAAGGCTAAATCCACCATGCAGCTTAATGTGCCACTTGCAGAGGCCTCATTCCCGCCATACTGCAGGTCGAGCATGCACGCCAGGAACCCGCCATAGTAGCTCAAACACGCAGGCTGCCGCTAGCTTAAAAGAGACAAGTAGGAGCTGTTTTTAGCTCCGTTTTAGAATCTTTTTACTCAGGTTTTAGGTGGAAACTCTTGCCAACACGTTGGGCGCCATTTGTAGATGGAGCTTTCCTGCCTGGCCCACAGTCAGGACAAATCTCTCTCACCCGCCAGTCCCACAGCCACTCAGACCCGACCAAGTAAACACAGAAACTTATATTGGTTACAAACTGTATGGCCGTGGCAGGCTTCTTGCTAACTGTTCTTACAGCTTAAATTAATCCACTTTTATAAATCTATACCTTGCCACATGGCTCGTGGCTTACCGGCATCTTCACATGCTGTTTGTCATCGTGGCGGCTGGCAGTGTCTCTCTGACTCAGCCTTCCACTTCCCAGTTTTTTCTCCTCCTTGTCCCGCCTATACTTCCTGCCTGGCCAATGGCCAATCAGTGATTTATTTATTGACCAATCAGCAACACATTTGACATACAGACCATCCCACAGCATCTGATCTTGCCTCTGCCTCCTGAGTGCTGGGATTCTGGGTATGTGCTACCACACCAGCTTATTATTTTGAAGTGGGTGGTTCATTGCTGTTTCCTGGGCAGAGCTTGAACTCCTGGGCTCCAATAATTCTCCATCTGCTTCCAGAGTAGTAGATTACAGGTGTCACTTGTGTATATGGATCTGATTTGTTTTTTTTTTCTAATTTTAAAAATTGCATTTATTTATGTGTTATGTTTGTATGTATGTGTCACTCTTGTGACACATGAACATACCATGACGTGAATGTAGAGGGCAGAGAACTTGCAGGAGTCAGTTCTTTCCTTCCACCATGTGGGGCCCAGGCAGTGTGGCAAATGCCTTAGTCACTAAGCTGTCTTGATGGCTCCCAGTTTAAGGTTTTGAAGGACTGATTTTTGGCTCCTCCATGGAGCATGTGTGATACGTGTTGTTGATGTTTCTTTTCAAAGAGTTAAGACATATGATGTCTTACTTAAAACAAATTCTGAGCTCCATTCTGTGGTTCTTTTCAGCCAAAAATACTTGTATTTTTGAGACTGGGTCTCATGTGCCAGAGTTGGCCTTTAATTGACTACGTAGCCGAGGATGTGGTCCCCCTGTCTCTACCTCCAGAGTGCTAGGATTACAGGGCATGAGCACTACATCTGGTGGGCTGGCTAGTTTTATGTCAACTTGACACAAGCTGGAGTTATCAGATGGGAGGAGGGGAACAGAGGGAGCCTTAATTGAGAAAATGTCTCCATAAAAATTGGGCTGTGTAGCCGGGTGGTGGTGGCACATGCCTTTAATTCCAGCACTCGGGAGGCAGAGCCAGGCGGATCTTTGTAAGTTCGAGGCCAGCTGGTCTACAGAGTAAGATCCAGGACAGGCACCAAAACTATACAGAGAAATGTTGCTAGAGTTTTTATCTCTGGGTCTCGTCAAGCCCCAGCAGTCCCATGGCCCACTTATAAAATAAATATACAGATGCTTATATTATTTAAACTGTTTGGCCATTAGCTCAGGCCTGCCATTGTCTAGCTCTTACTCTTATACTCAGCCCATTTCTGTTAATCTATATGTTGCCACGTGTTCCATGGCTTTACCTGCTGCCTTTACATGATGATCCCTGGATGGCAGGCTGGCATCTCCTCCTCTCCGCTTTCCTGTTCTCTCCATTCCCCTCTCTGCTAGTCCCGCCTATACTTCCTGCCTGGCTACTGGCCAATCAGTGTTTTATTTAATCAATCAATCATCCACAGCAGAGAAACCCTGTCTCGAAAAACAAAACAACAACAACAACAAAATTGGGCTGTAGGCAGCAAGCTTGTAGGGTATTTAATTGTGATTGATAGGGGAAAGCCCATCCCATTGTGGGTGGGGCCACCTTGAGCTAGTAGTCCTGGATTCTATAAGAAAGTAGGATGAGCAATCCATGGGGAGCAAGCAGCACCCCTCCATGGCCTCGGCATCAGCTCCTGCCTCCAGGTTCCTTCCCTGCTTGAGTTCCTGCCCTGACTTCCTTCAGTGGTAGACTATGGTGTGGAAGTGTAAGCCAAATAAACCATTTCTCCCCCATTTGTTCATGGTGTTTCATTACAGCAATAGAAACCCTAACTAGGACATCTGGGTTGTTTTGTCTTAAAAATATCTACTTATGTACACTTGAGAGAAAGTACAGAGAGAAAAGTATTGACATGGCGGGGCTCTGGGTGTCTCCTCATACCTGTTCCTCATATTTGCTCTGGAAGTCTTTTCCTCCCTTCTTTACCACAGTGTTATTTTGAATTACCTGATGGGGCTGGAGAGATGGCTTAGCAGTTAAGAGCACTGACTGCTCTAACAGAGGACCTGGGTTCAATTCCCAGCAACAACATGGCAGTTCACAGCTGTCTGTAACTCCAGAATCCAACACCCACACACAGACATACATAAACACCAATACACATAAAATAAAAATAAATAAATTAAAAGAATTACTTGATTATAGATAGTGCTGAACATTAAACCTTTTTATCCCTTTGGCCTACAGTCTCTAAAGGATAAGCTAATACAAGAGAAAAAGCTGTCCAACATGTACCAAGAACAGTGCATTTCCCTAGAAGAGGAACTTGCTCGAATCCGGGAGGAAGAGGGGGTGAGGAGAGAGATCTTCAAGGTACGTAGTGCTCTCACACTTGTGACGACATGCAGGCAGCTCTGGGGAATGATTCTCTCCTCTTCATAAACTCCTTATCACCCATTTTTAGGATCGCTCCAACAAGATGGCGAAGCGCTTACAAATAATGACAAAGCGCTACGAGGCACTGGAGCATCGACGCATCCTGGAAGTGGAAGGCTTCAAGACGGATATTAAGGTTCTCCGACAGAAGCTGAAAGACCTGGAGCAAATGCTCTATAAGGTACTTTTGCTCCTTATAGAGTTAGGAGAAGGAGACGGGGGTGGTCAGGAGGGTTCCTCAGAAGATGGCCAAGGATGTAGTGTGGATTTCAGTAGAGTGTGTGTGTGAAAATAACAAGTCAGTGGCACTACAGAAACCCAGAAGGATGTGCCCTGGCCTTACTTGGACACCAAGAGATGAGTATCCTTGAAATCCTTGAATCCTCTGGAACATCAGTTCAACAGGAACACTCTGTTGGAAAAACAGACAACTTACAAATTACCATTCTTCCCAGTTCAACCAGATGAAAGGAATTAGGTCTGTTTGGGGGAGGGGAGCTGGGCAGATGGCCCAGTGAGTAAAGTTGCTGGCTGTGCAAGCATTAGGACCTGAGTTCAGATCCCTGGCAGCCATGTCAAATCCAAGCACAGACACACATCTGTAATCCGGTGTGAGAGATGAAGACAAGGAACCCAGGATGTGCTGGCCAGCCAGTGTAGCCAAAGCAGTGACCTCCAGGTTCACTGAGAGACCATCTCTCAGGCACACACCTTTATTCGAGACCAGTATGGTCCTCATAGCAAATTCCAGAACAGCCAGGACTGCATAGTGAGGCCGTGTCTCAGAAACAAAACAGCAAAGGCGGAGAGTAATTGAGGATACCCAGTGTCATTCACTGACCTTCACTCTCGTGTGCATGGGTGTGCACGAGTGTGCACACACACACTCATTCTCTCAAAAAAAACTGTTTTTAAAGTGCGGGAAATAATTGAGTCATGATGTACTTTCCCAGATACCTTTTAGCATCCAGGATCTTGAGAGCTTTGGTGGAGATTTAATAATCACTCTAAGTCCTAACTAGTTGCTATGTTCTGAACAAAGTTGATAGAAAAAAGAAAGAAATGCTTTCTATCATTTTTGGCAAAATTACCAATAATGTTATTTATTGGTCATGTTTTTTTTATTATTATTAACATTTATTTATTTTTGTGTGTGGTATGTATGCCATGGTACATGTGTGGAGGTCGGAGGACAACTTGTGGAAGTCAGTTCACTCCTTCCACCACGTGGCTCCTGGGGTCCAACTCAGATCCCCAGTCTTGGCAGCGAGTGCCTTTACTAACCAGAGTGATGTCACGATGCTGTTCCGGTCTTTTTGCCTGTGGTTAGTTGTTTATGAATCTCTATCCCAAAGCTTCACTGCCCTTTTATTTTGTTTTGTTTTTGTTTTTGAAATGGTGTCATGTCGTCTAGGCTGTCCTCAAACTGCATGGGTAGCCAAGGATGATCTGAACTCTTGATGGTCTGCCTTCTTCTCTGAAGCCCTTTGACTAATTAAACATTTTCATTTTAAAATTAGTCACTGAGGGATTTAGGATTGCATTTATCATATGTAAAAAAGGAGCCAGCCAGCATAGCCTGTTCTTTGTGAATTGATTTCTTTCCCTTAGCTGATGCCATAATTCTTTCTTTTTTCTCTCTTTGCTCAACTCTGTAGGCAACAGCGAATGCCCAGGGAAACCAGGACCTTGCCATTCTATGTGAAGTTCGTGACAGCAATAGAAGAGCTCATAAGATACAGGGAGAGCTGAAGGAGCTCAAGTCTAAAGTGTTCGGTCTGGAGAATGAGCTCAGGCTGTGTTGATGTCTACTTTCTGGGGAGGTCGGCTTCCTGGGACCTGAGGCACGGTCACCTGTTCCCAGGCAGTGGACAGGGAGTTAGCCAGAATAGTGGTATTTATTTTTATAAAGATGATGTTAAGGGCATGATGGCTCACATTTGTAATCCCAGCTCTTGGGAGGCAGAGACAGGAGGATTGCCACAAATTCAAGGTAGAGCTCTGTGATTCAAGGCCAACCTGGTCTACATAGTAAGTTCTAGGCCATCCAAGGCTACTTAGTGAGACCCTGTCTCCAAAAAACAATAACAACAACAAAAAAAAAAAACCATCAAAACTAGAAAGGGAAAGAAACAAAACAAAACAAAAAACAAAACAGGATAAATTGGGATGCTGAAAGTCTGCGCTTACACTGACCTTGCTGTTTCACTGTTGGACCATCTGAACTATAGCCTGGATTACTTGGAGACATTCCTGCTTTTCTTTTAGATATTGACAGGCTTTCTGCTCTTTAAAAAGACAGTAATGGGGGCACTGGAGAGATGTCTTAGTGGTTAAGAGTACTAGCTGCTCTTCCAGAGGACCTGAGTTCAGTTCCCAGCTCCCACACGGCAGTCTGTAACTCCAGTTCTGGTGCTTCTGACATCCTCACACAGGCATACACACAGGCAAAATACCAGTGCACATAAAATAAATAAAAGTACAGGGGTAGCATGTAGCTTAGCTGATGAAGTGCTTGTCCAGGGGACAGAACCCTGAGTTCCAGCCCTAAGGCTACATAAAACCAGGCATGATGGCTCATCTGTAATCATCACGGGAGAGAGGTATAGGTGGATCTGAAGTGCACATTCAACCTGCACTATATGGTGAGTTGCAGGCTAGCCTGGGCTCCAAGAGACCATGTCTAAAAAACAAACAAAGATGACAAAAACTCAGGAAGAGATGTTTTGCAGAGGTTGGCTAAGTGTCAGTGGAAGAATGTGTTTCCTGCAGGATCAAGAGCATTCATTGATGTGCATTCCTTCTTGGTGGGGAGGGAAGGAGGCAGCAAATTACACACACAATGGCAGTTATTGAGCTGTGTTTTAGCTGTGTGTGAGCATGGTCCAAGTGACTGACCACCAGGAGGCAGTACAGCCCGGGCTCTTAAGTAAACATGGTCATTAAGACAAAGGTGCTACTTTATTGAGAGTGGGCAAAACCAAAATGATACTTAAGTCAAAAAAGTTTGACATTTTATCAATGTTTTTTTTTTCTCAAAAATATGATTCAAAGTATTTTCAATAAAATCTGTAGTTTAAAATATTTCAGTGTTCCATGATGTCTTATGCTTATGCCTTGTATAAGCATTTATCTCAGTTTACTTTCTTTTTTAAAAATTATTTTTAGCCGGGCAGTGGTGGTGCACGCCTTTAATCCCAGCACTCGGGAGGCAGAGGCAGGCAGATCTCTGTGAGTTCGAGGCCAGCCTGGGTTACCAAGTGAGTTCCAGGACAGGCTCCAAAGCTACACCGAGAAACCTTGTCTCAAACAAAACAAAACAAACACACAAAAAAAGTTATTTTTAGTTTATTTATTTAGGGTGGAATTGGTGAGTGCTATGACGTGTGGAGGCCAGAGGACAGCTTGAGGGAGTTAGTTCTCTTCCTTTTCCTGTGTGGGTTTTGGGATCTAGCTCAGGTGGTCAGGCTTGGCAGCCAGTGTCTGCCTGCGGAGCCATCTCGCCAGCCCTTGTTTATACCATTTTTAATGTATAGTGTGGTGCCTGGAGATAGTGGACAGTCAATTACAGTTAGCCTGTGCCCTCTGCTCTGGTTTCAGTTGGATTCCTATAATTGCCCACTACTGTCAGTCAGATTTCAAGATGTATTTAATACCATTCATTCCTTCGGAAATGTATTTAATTAAGCCCAGCATGGTGGCTTATACCTGTAATCCCAGCACTCAAGAGGCAGAAACAGGATGATCACCATAGAGGCCAGTCTAGTCTATACAACAGGTTCCAGGTCAGCCCAGGGCTGCACACTGAAACTTTGACTCTTAAAAAAAAGAAAAAAGGCCGGGCGGTGGTGGCGCACGCCTTTAATCCCAGCACTAGGGAGGCAGAGCCAGGCGGATCTCTGTGAGTTCGAGGCCAGCCTGGGCTACCAAGTGAGTTCCAGGAAAAGGCGCAAAGCTACACAGAGAAACCCTGTCTCGAAAAACCAAAAAAAAAAAAAAAAAAGAAAAAGGGTATAGAGATGGCTCTGTGACCTGCCTGGGGGAAGGGGGAGAAAATGAACAAAAACACCAAGATGGCATCTAATAATCAGGCGTGGTGGAACAGTTTCTAGGTAATAATCTGAGGAAAGATGAGAAACTATCAGAAATTCGACAGACACTGGAGAGCTGGAAAGGGAGCCTTGAACTCGTGATAACAGCAGCAATAGCAGCAGAGACAGCCGGGAAACCCTCAGAAACGAGAGCTATTCTCAAAAGACATCTCTCACAGTTCAGCAGCCTGAGACCCTCTGAACCACACTCACAGGTGACTAAGTGGGAGTGAAATGCTACGTGGGAGAGCCTGACAAACAGCATCTCTCAAAACATTCAGGAAGCCAACCGCCTAGTGACATCTGAAAGATACACCAGAACTTTCACGAACTCCACGCAGCGTGCGGGACCAGAGGCTGAGGGGATTAACAGGCTTGAGCACATCTGTGGTCCCTCTTGTGTGCACTGCCCACCGACTGGACAGCACTGGCGATATCATCAACCACAGGAAGACTGAGAGCCGAACGGGACCGCCCATCACAGAGCACCCTCCAACAGCAGGGAGGGGTGTGAGAGATGCCAGTCAGTTTTTATGTCCTCTATCTCCACCGGGCAGATTAGCGGCTGGCTTAGCCCTTCTTGCCCCATCTTGCTTTTGTCTTTGTACCTTCCCCCCTCCCCCTCCCCTGCAAGGACCTTCTCTCCTTTTCTTTCCCTTGCTTTTTCTTCCTCCAGCGGATGCAGTCTGGCCTGGTTCGTAGAGTCAAGCTGCCTCAGCCTCCTGAGCGATAAGACATTAGCTCTGTCTTTTCGGTCTACCTTAAGCAAAATTCTCTCAACCTCCCCCAACTTCTTTTGTCCCTAAAGTTCCCCCTTCTGTGACTGTTTCTCTCTTCTGCTTTCTACAATCCCAGTACTGATCACTAGTCTTACTCTTTTGTTTCTTCTGCCTCCTTTCTCTTTCCGTGTATACCCACTATCCTGGCTAGATTTGTTTGTTTTTAAAGATCATTTAAGGGGTGGGTGGGTGTGATGGTGCATGACTTTAATCTTAACACTCCAGAGGAAGAGACAGGTGGAACTCTGAGTTTGAGGCCTGCTTGGTCTACATAGTGAGTTCCAGGCCAGCCAAATACAGTAAGACCCTGTCTGAAAAAAACAAAAAGAAGCCAGGCTATGGTGGTACATGCCTTTGATCCCAGCACTTGGGAGGCAGAGGCAGGTGGATCTTTGTGAGTTTGAAGCCAGCCTGGTCTACAAAGCTAGTTCTAGGACAGCCAAGGATACACAGAGAAACCCTGTTTTGAAAAAAACAAAAAAGAGAAAGAAAAAGAAAACCCAAAGTTTATTTCTTTATTCATTTGTGTGTCTGTGTTTGTGTGAGTATATGCATGAATCTATAAAGGCCAGGAGAGGATGTTGTATCCCTTGGAACTGGAGTTACAGTCATTTGTGAGCTGCCCGACACAGATGCCAGGATCTGAACTCTGGTCGTCCGGTTGAGCAGTACGTGCAACAGTCCCTGAGCTGGTTAGCTTTAATTGTTGACTTAACACAGCGTAGAGAGAGTCTCCTGAGATGAAGCCACAATTGAGGAATTGCCTAGGTCAGATTGGCCTTCGGGTGGTAGTGGGGGAGTGCCCAGCCTACTGTGAGAGGAGGTGATACCTCTAGCCAGGTTGGTCCTGAACTATATAAGAAAGCTAGCCTGCCTATGAGCCAGCAAGCAATGTCTTGCTTGGTTCCTGCCATACTTCTTTGTTGAGTGAGTTCCTTGGTTGGAAGTAATGCTATATGGAATAGCAAGTAGGCATGCCAGGAGTGTGGCCTGGAGTTGTATGCAAAATAACCTTTCCTCCTATAAGTTATTTTGGTTAGTGTTTTATCTCAGCAACAGGAAGGAAAGGAGAGCACCCACAAGAACTAAGAACTGGTATTAGTCCATTCAGTGCTATCAGTGTCTCTGTCCCCTAAGATCATTAGTCCTTAAAGGATGGTTGCTGTACTATTACTGTTTCCATAGTAGCCCTACCCCTGGACAGTGATAGTGTTTTATAGGCAGGGGAAGGCCGAGGATAGAGCCTGGTACACTGAATAACCAGTTTATCAGGGGAAAACAGCACTTCAACCCCGCTCAACATATCCCTTCCTGAACATTGCAAACAAACACACTGAAAGATGATCTCAAGAAAATTCAACTAGCAATTTAATTTTTTTACTTTCTTTTTTTTTTTTTTGTGACAGAGTTTCTCTGTGTAACAGCTCTGACTGTCCTGGAATCTGCTTTGTAGACTAGGCTGGCTTCAAACTCAGAGATACTCCTGCCTCTGCCTCCCAAATGCTAAGATTAAAGGCATTCACCACCACTACCCAGCAGCAATTTAACTTTTTTTTTTTGCAATTTAACTCTTGATGTGCAAGTTCCTACACACACACACACACACACACACACACACACACACACACACACACACACACACAAGTAACATGAAAAACCAAGGTGTTTTTTCTCTGAAAGTTAAAAACCCCAGATTAATGGCCTCCAGAGTCAATGTAGGATGTACAAGTGGGATTAAATAGAAAGCTACAAATACTGAAGAAAACCCAAACTGAGCCGATGCTAGAAATAAAAGTTCAGTAAATAGATGTTAAAATGGCTCAGTAATGGCACACACCTTTAATCCCAGCACTCGGGAGGTGGAGGCAGGAATCTTGAGTTTGAGGCCAGCCTGGTCTACAGAGTGAGTTCCAGAACAGCCAGAGCTGTTACACAGAGAAACCCTGTCTGGAAAAACAACAAACAACACAAACAAAAAGGGCTCAGCAAGCCTGACCGTGGTGGAAAGAGAGAATCCATTCCTGAAAGTTGTTCTCTGACCTCTACATGTGTTCTGTGGCATATGCCCACCCCCATCATACACGCACAGTAGTAGTCAATAGTGCAGGTGAGATGGCCCAGCTGGGTGCCTGCTGCCAAGTGTGACGACCTAATTTATCTTGGGACCTACAGAGGAGAGAACTGACTCCTGCAAGTTAGAATTTGACTGTCACATTTTTTTATAAACTGTTTTCTTCATTTTAATTATTACTTGTGTGTGTGTGTGTGTGTGTGTGTGTGTGTCTGTCTGTCTGTCTGTCTGTCTGCCTGTCTATGTAGGAGGAGGTCAGAGGAATGTCAGATCTGGAACTAGAGTTACAGGCAGTTGTGAGCTGCCTAATATGGTGCTGGGAATCGAACTCTGCAAGAACAGTGTGTGCTCTTAACCAGAGTCACCTCTCCAGCCCCCATGTATGTGTATTGGCATGTGTGTGCACACATACAAATACAGATACCAAAGAAATAAAAGCAATTGAACTGTTTTTAAATAAGTAAGTGATGTGGACCATCAGGTTGTTCTTCAGTGACACTCTTCTGAGATGAAGGACCAAAAGAATATAGGAAAGTTTGGGATCAGGAGGTCTTGCACAAGCTTGCTAAGCAAGCTTATAAAGAAGCATGGCATCTTATGCATGGTCTGTTGCTGGGGGGGGGGGGGGGGGGGATGTGGGACCAAATCAGCAGAAAGCTTTCATGCAGTGGGATGAAGTCAGCAGGAAGCTAACTGACGCTGTTGCACAACAGGAACACTCCAGCCTTCAAGGGAAAAAGCCAGGTTCCTAGGAATCTAAACCTTAACTCCTTTGAGGCCCTGGCTCCAGCCCCAGACCAGACCTTTCCAAGACTGCCCCTGGGCAAGGACACAAAATTACTCTTCTCTTTGTCCTTTCATCAGGGCCTGGTTCCCAACAAGTAAAAACTCAATAAGCAAAATAAAAAAGTCTCGGGGCTGGAGAGATGGCTTAGTGGTTAAGAGCACTGACTGCTCTTCCAGAGGTCCTGAGTTCAATTCCCAGCAACCACATGGTGGCTTACAACCACTTGTAATGAGATCTGGT